TATTCAAAAAAGTATAGAGAAAAGTCGCGTTTTGAGAAAACGGCCGATAAAGAAAAATAAAATTCTGACTTTATGAGGAAATGGCGGTCACAAACATGCCCGGTATGGGAAAAAATACGGGTTTTGGTGGTTCTAATGCGATGAAATAGTTGTAGGAGAGGCTGATGAAGCTAAAAATGCCTACAACTCAAATTCCATAATTTTGAGCCGAATTTTAACTTTGGGGGTGTAGCCCCCCCTTAATGATAACATGTCCTTTTTCGATAACAGACCTCTATAATAGGAATTTACTTCGGATTGCGCCTATCAAAAAAGGAAGGGAAAAAAAAGGTAAAAAAAGCCTAATATTATTATTATTATAGGCCTGCCAACATTATGAACATGATGTATTATAGTTCAGACTTATGGGCACTTAGTTATTACAAAGGCCTACATACTTTTGATTTCATTTAACAAAAAATACCCATCTTTCGATCGATCATTTGCAGCAAGGATATTATGAAAAAAAGAGGTCGGGCCCGGGGGGAGGGGGGAGGGTGACAGCCAGGGGCGTGGCACCCAAGCGCAAATGGCGCCATGGCGCCACCCTTCTAAATGGAGAAGGGATTTTCCAAAAAGGGAATACGAATTTTCAAAACTTAGCAAAATATCACAATTTTTTTTTCAAACAAATCTCTTATTATTCAGTGCTCATCCCTAAGTACGCCAGTCTGTAGTCAGGGTGTCTATAATTAGGCTAGTGGGAAGAGGGCGGGTAAGCCTCCCGTTGCCGACCGCAACTTTGCAAGGGTCTCCCCTCGTCTTTCGTTCCCTACGTCTGACGTCACCTACTATGTGTAGAATTCTGTGGCGCTACCTGAACAAGTGTTTCTGCCTGAACCCATATGGGTGTTCATTGTTTTGGTGTGAAGTCTGGTCCAAATAATTCAAAATGATCTATAAACTATTTGATTCAATCAGTTGAAAACAAGGTTTTCTTTCCAAGAATAGCAAAAACAGTTTCTTTCATACCCCATCCAGACGTTTGATTTGGCGCCTGTATGGTAGAGAGGGGATGGAGTGGTAGTTAGCCTGGACATGGCCTGGTTGCGAACTGTCTAAAAAAATAGGGTTTATTGTCTGCTTTCTAGAAACCAGAACTGCAAGTGAATCAGGGAAGGGGGTCATTATGTCAAGAATAGTGCATGCGTGTTCTTGACTGTGAATGTGTGCTTTTCTGTTGATCTGTGGGAAGTTATTATTTTGTGTGTGAACAATTATGATGTGATGTGATTGTGCGCATCTTGAGCGCCGAACTTGGTTCTTTATCATCAGTTCTCTCTATATATTATAAGAAATTGTACCGGCACACATCTATTCTTCTCGCATGGAAGTAGGTGTCCCTGTATCAGTATTAAAATTAAACGGAAGAGGCGTATATATAGTAGGTCTACAGTTTATAGGCCTGTAATAAGTAGGCAATACTATTCGTGTGCATAAATTTGTTCTTGGCGCCACCTTCTCTGGAAGTGACGCCTCGCCCCTGGTGGCAGCGCAACCGATCATACAACTGTGTGAAATCAGGAGCTCGTAAGTTTGGGGACAAATGAAGTTTTATATTCTATATTTTTTATATCTGCTTATAATAAGCTTGTTCGCTTGTCTTGGTTTTTTTTTTGTGTGTGTGG